TATACCGCTATACTCTTAACAATCAACTGGTGAGTCTGGGAAAAATAGTAAAAAAAATCCTTCTCACATTTTGGTGGAGTTATAATGATTTTAAAATTGGTTCTTTTCAGTGGCGGCCCGTGAAGTTTTCTTCAGAGGAGGCTCAAATTTGAAAAGCACTACTTTTTACATCTTTATGTGTGGTAATCGTATTACATCATATTTGCAAGTTTCCACACCACCTTGCGGTATTGCAGCGGCGCGTTACCTTTTTGATTTTAGTGGGTGGTTCGCCGACAGCCCTATTATCCCACTTACTAAGTGTAAAATAAAAAGTAAATTCTCAAAAAAATAACAAATACATAAATATTCTTAAAAAAAACAAATTAAAATAAATTCGTAGGATTAAAACGAAATAACAAATAAAAATAAAATTCTTTGGTTTAAAAAATTATGCACTACCTACTGCAATTAAAGCTTCTTATAGCAAAGTGGTAATCTACGATTTTTCATGTTGGCAAAGTGATCGATTATATGTTCATAAAATGAATTATTCTCTTTTAATTTGCTTACCAAACGCTTTTCAATTGCAATTAACGATACATTTGATAACCGGTCTTGAGACATTCTATTTCTGTTATATGTTTTTATTCGCTTAAGAGCTGAAAAAGATCTTTCGACGGAAGCAGAAGTTACTGGAATTGATAAAACTAGGCATAAAAGCTTGTATAACTGAGGCAAGCAGTCTGTTAGATTATTTTTATAAATAAATGCTACCATTTCTTGAACTGACGTAGATTCTCCTAGAAGATGTGTATCCGAATAAAGAACAGACAGTTCATTTTTCAGAGATATTTGATCAAAAGACGAATACTGCTTGGTAAGTTCTTGTAGCAAATTACTAGGAAATTCTTTCGAAAACGTTCCAAAATTCTCATAATTTACCAAATCAAAATACTGTAGAGCCCCGATATCAGCAAACCTGGTCTCAAGTTGAACGATAATGATATCCAAAATTTGTGCATAAATTTGTTTGTAATGTAAATCTTGTCTTTCTAAATTAAATGACGTTTTCCGTTTTTTGTGCTGCGAAGGTCCTGGTTCATTCTCGGTATAGTTTTCATTTGCATCGTCCAAAAATATATTGTATAAGTCATTAAAATGAATTTCATTAGTACGAAAATCTTTCAATTTTTTTATTAATGAGTTAAGTCTACCCTTGGAATAATTAACATCTGTTGATCTGTTTTGCAAAATTTGAAAAATTATATCAGTTTGTTCAAAAATCATTGTAAAAACTTTTAGGTAAAAAATAAAATTTTTATCTAGCAGTAACCGTTTGAGCCCATAGGCTTCTCTCAAAGTTTGATGATCATTTAAAAATTCTTCACTATCGGAAATAAAATCAAAAACCTCAATTAATTTTTGTCTGTGTGAATTAATAGTAAACACAGCTCTGCTTGAAAAATTCCAACGAGTAGGAGCGTTACTTGGCAGCCTATGCTTAACGATTGAATTTAAAACTTCTGATCGTTTGCTTGATTTTGAAAAAAATGATGAAAATCCTGACAGGTTTGAAAAAAATATTCTGACGTCTTTTATACCGTTACAAGCTTTGCTTAATACCAAATTGAGTTTATGGGCATAACAATGTGTGAATAAGGCTTGGGGTGCAATATTTTTTACTTTAGTTTGAAGACTGTTTAAATGTCCTGCCATTACTGCAGCACCGTCATAAGTTTGGGCAATTAATTTATTTTTCAGATCAAACCGATTGAATTCTTTTGTTAATAACTGAAATAAACTTTCAGCATTTCTTCCACTACTAACGTCGTAGAACCCAGTAAATCTCTCAACAAGTTCGCCATCTGTAACATATCTTAAAATTACGGATAGTTGGCTTTTACAAGTTATATCTGTAGTTTCATCTATCTGCCAAGAAAAAAAAATCGGCTTTTTGCAGTTCTTCTTCTGTCTTATTTTTAATTACAAAACAGATGCTTTCAATTAAATCGTTTTGAATTGATTTTGAGGTTCCAGTAAAAACTGTAGCTTCATTTAAAAAATTTTGTAACTTTGAGTCGTAGGTTTTTAATAAATCGATCAATTCTTTAAAATTTCCCTTATTATCTGAATCATTTTTTTCGTCATGCCCACGAAAAGAACACTCTTGCGTTGATAGATAAATTATTGCATCGATTAATCTTTTCAAAATTGCCCTATTTTCAACAACTTTCTCGTTATAGTTCTCAATATCCCTCTTATGAGCCGAATCTAAAGTATTGGCAATGTTTTGCTTACCAAGCATTTCTAATTTAATCGAAGAAAATATGTGTTCCTGTGATTTTTCATGCCTTTCTACAGCTCGTGATAAATTTTGTAAATTATTATAGCCGGTTTTGCCCCAAACGGAAGATTTATCACTTGTGAATAATATACAATTCCAGCAGTATAATTTGTTCCTTAAAACCGAAGCCGTTAACCATTTGGTTTTGTTATAATTATTTGCATGAAATGCTCTGTTTTGTTTTCTGCCTGTCATTACCATTAATGGGAGTGATGGTGTTGGTCTCCCCTTTTGTTTTATAGCTATCTTTTTATCATAATCAAAGGTAGTAAATTCATTTTTTAATAGATAATCGACGATATCTGCACAAGAGACTGAATTATTTTGGTTGGTCATTCTCGTTATGTATAAGTAATATTAATATGCCGGTAATACTAGTTGTTTATAACGATCAGAAATTAAACGCAAATAAATGATACAAAAAACACCTTACCAACGTAAAGCCTAAACACCACTGAACAGGGAACGTGCGAAACCACCTCAATGTTTTTCCTGTTTTCACCCGATCGCGCCAATTAATAAGAAAGAGATAAAATTATCCGTACGACTTGATCTGAAAAGAGATGAACTAGCCGGAGGCTAGCGGCCTGAAGCGGCGTTCCGACCAACGTTTTAGCCAATGCAGTGCAGAATCATCATGCGTCAAGGTTACAGTTTCCATAGTAAGATGCATTTCCATCGGAAGCTAGCCTCTACGGCTGAATCCAAACGCGGAGAGGTGTGAATTATGATTGTAAGGGCGCAAATATAAATTTTTTCGACATTTTAACCTGATATATGATGAAAGTAAATAAAATCAAACAAAATATTCTGAAAAATAACAAATTTCTACAAAAATACAAATTCTTTCATCGAAAAAATTAGAGGAAGCTCAGCTCCAAAAAATAGAGGAGGCTCAGCCTCCCCTGCCTCCTCTGAGGAGCCGCCACTGGTTCTTTTGCTACCTTTAACAACTAAACAACTCATTCATTATCAGAATAACTAGTAGTAAAATTTTTAGTTAATATTTTTCTCGCCCATGACCATGTTTAATTACCATTTCCGTTAGAATGCACAAAGATATGGCTGTGTTGCTTTTGTAATAATTTGATAAAATTCCATTTGACAACAATGTTTGCCTGATATAAAGCGAAGGTGGATTTCAGTCAGCATCGTTACTAAGAAACCAGAAAGTACTTAAGACGGAGTTATTCACGCATTAGCAGTGTACAATGTTGCCAATTTTATTTTTTAAAACCACGTTTTTTTCGTTATCTACGTTATAAAGAATTTTTTTATTATTTTTTGGGGACTCCCGAAACCCCCGTATATAACGTGCTGAAGATTTAATCCGCCATTTTTCAGACAGCCGGTATAAAGATCGTGAATGGATAAGTCTTTAGTAGTCATTATACCGAAATTTTAATAAAAGGTCAGATTAGGGTAGGCCTCTAGGCTATATATATCCAGGGGCATTACCTCAGGCATTTCACTTTTCATTATAAAAGCTTGATTAATTTACGAATCAATAAAAAGTGAAAACTGACTTGGATTTTTAAGGAAAAAAAATTCAATAATTGTAAAAATTTTTTATTCTTTTAGTAAATTTACAAAATTGGAAGCTGAGGTCACCTGTAACCAATAAACTATTGAACAGACCATAGATGTTATGGCCCATAACATCTTCGGTTGTAATAAAAGTCATAACATTCCTGAATCTGTTAATAGTTATTGCGCAACAGTCGAAGAGACAATTTGTATGTACCTATTGTTATTTTGATGGTATTTTAAATTGTTAATTGTTGCATGTTTCGAACTGAAATAGTAACCATTTTAAAAAACTGATATGGTAAGATATTTATCACCATTTTTACTCACAATAAATAATAGTTTAAAAAACTAAAAAAACACGCTTTTATTGCTAATCGAACTAAAAACTAGAAAATAATTTTTAATGACAGAGTTTAATATTACAGTAGTAGAAGATCAAACAATCAATCATAATAAATCACCTCAAATTAAAATTATAATAAAATTTAAGTTATTAACAGAATAATTCAATTCAGAGTAAAAAGCGTGGGGTGCTTGATATTTTAAATATTACAATCATTCTATTGGCAACTATCTATGAGAGGATGGTTATGAACCGCAGTAAAATGCACCCCACGCTTTTTACTCTGAATTGAATTATTCTGTTAATAACTTAAATTTTATTATAATTTTAATTTGAGGTGATTTATTATGATTGATTGTTTGATCTTCTACTAATGTAATATTAAACTCTGTCATTAAAAATTATTTTCTAGTTTTTAGTTCGATTAGCAATAAAAGCGTGTTTTTTTAGTTTTTTAAACTATTATTTATTTTTCATTTTTTAGTCTGCGACAAATTCATAAATTGGGGAATTAATTACTTATTTAGATTTTTCTAGAAAGAACCACTCAGTGGTCTCCGTAGGATCGAGGATCCTGGCGGTCCTAATAAGGATAATGGGAAACTGTTATCAAATTATTGCATTGTCATCGATCCTTGAGACGTGTGCAAAGTTTCAAGATGATCAGACTTTTAGAAACCGATGAAAATTAAGCTCAAAGATTCCGTTACATACATACATAGATACAACCCAAGCTAATAAAAGCGTGATAAAAATGGGGTAATAAATATTCGCTACCTCACCAAAAATACAATATAAATACAGAAACTCTGGCCAACAGTTCGTAGTCGAAACAATGAACACTTCGGCGGTAATTCTTACAGCAGCCCTCCTAACCTGCTGCTACTGCATGGGCCCAAGTAAGTACCTTCTTTTCCCGTTTTTCTCATCATAATCAAAATTTCTTCAGTGCCAACTTTTATCATCAGATGCAATATACAACTTCCAAGTTTTAATAACTGTTTATCGAATGCCATTCAACACGCGATCATCCAGATGGTAGTACCCATACCCGACTACGATCTACCAGTTATCGACCCTTTCAAAGTACCGAGTCCAGCCGTATACGGAGATGCAAGGACTGGTCTTCGACAAAACTACACCAACATGGAAATTTTCGGATTGACGAATATCAACTCAACCAGCGCTACGTATTATAAATACGTAAAAAACGTGAAACGGGTCCACCTGAATAATTTTCTTTCAGATTCAATCCTGCGTCGGGAGTTTTGTCCATAAACATTACCTACAATGCGGTGCTTTTCACGTTTGATTATGGAATATATGGCAGATTTATCACCATTCCAATGAACACGATAAGCCGAAATAGTTCTATTCTATTAGGTAAGAAGATACTTTGTTTTAGACTGGATCATTCACAGTTTATATTTTTCAGTTAACCCGACTTTCGAACTAACATTCAACCTGCAAGAAGTTCCAAGAAATGGCACCGTCTATTTTAGAGCGGTCAACAGTACGTTGTATATGGTACCTCAACAAACCATATTTAATTATACGAAAGTATTTGATGATCAGTGGCAGAACGATGCTCTGAATGCCAAAATTAACCAAAACGGAAACGACGCGCTTAACTACCTGCTAGAACTATTTCCACATTTCTACACACAATATTTTATAGTGTGGTTCAATAATATTTTGCGAAGAGTACCGGCGCAGAACTTTTTCGATTAACGAGGAATAAAGAATTTTGTATGACAAATGTATGATGCAGTAAAATAAAGTAGATAGCGTATACAAAGCATATTTGGAACGGTTAATTTAATTTAAAACTCGACACTTAGAAGATACATTACATTTTTACCGTCCTGTAGAATTAATTTGGTATCGTACCTTTACAAACAAATGAAACACATGCAATCGCGAAGTTTATATTACTCGCAACCATCGTAATAAATTTCCGTTTCTAAATTGTCGAGTACATCGTGAAGAACTCGTTCTAGACACGATTTTTTTCCCACATTCATGTCGTCCACGTCGACCAGAATTCCATTTTTCAACTCTTCCAGTACCTTTCGCGTGTACTCGAAGCTTCCAAAACTTTCCAGTATCTCCACAAAGAGTTTCTTACTTTCTATATCCAGTGGTCTTTTTTTTAACATATCTAAGACAGAGAATTAAGAAAATAAATCGTGATATTGGATCCATGACAAAGCGAAGCTCCTATTTTATACGAAGGATACTCAGAATGCGATGATCGTTGGGATGGGTGTGAATTGCATGCATTACAAGAAAGTTAAATTTTCCCTCATCAAGATCGTCGCAAAGAATCCGAACGGTTGCGTACTAGAAAATTAGTTCAAACAAATGAAAAACGGGTAAGTCGGTTGCTTACCTTAGGACTGCAAATTTATGTAGTCGTCATATATCTGAAGAAATTCACCTATTTTGTTACAAAAATCTACACTCAACTCGATTTTATCGTTTTTAGCGCACAGTTTTAACCATTGGACTCCCCATACGAAAGCAGTGGCACATTCTAAAACAGGAGACTCCATTTCAAAAATTATAAAACCTTGAACTTACTAGCACGAATTAGTGCTCTAAAATCGTTAAAAGTAGGACATTGTTGGATGTCTCTATAGTAGACTTCGAGTCCTTGTCCAGTGAAGAATCGAATACCTAAAGTAACATAATCATCAAGAGCGATGTCCTAAATAAAAACATAAACAGTAACAAAGAGAGAAATTTTCATCAGTGGTTGTTGGTTACCTCCCGGTTTTCCGCATAACAGAGTACATTTTTCATTATTAGAACCATCTTGTGTAGTGTAGCATACAGAGTTAGCGGAATTCCATAAACCATGTGTGCAGAAAGAAGTCCTCTGCGAAGTATCGTTCCGTCCAGAATATCGTCTACTCTGGAAAAAGTACATGGATTAAAGTAGGTAATTAAATTAAGGTGAGTATAACGAAACTTACATAATAAGCATTTCGTATAGTCCACTTTCAATATCATTAAACATTTTCAATTCGTCTTGAGGGCACTTTACCCAAACATTGCAAGCACCAAACAGTCGGTTAAAAATGTTCCGATTTTCTGGGCCCGCTTGTAAAAGTGTTCCACTGGTCTTGCCAATATCTACAATCAATAGTTTGTTAAAAAATACAGACAAAATTTTACTGTGGTGACTACATTACCTCTTCGCCTTTGATCTCCGTTTCGTCTGTGTTTGGTAGATATTTCTGCCTTCCTATAATTCTGATTATTTTTCTTTGTTATACGTACGAAGATACGAAACATACACAAATAACTGCCTTAATTGTCTTTCGTGTCTACTTATAAAAATCCTTGACAAATAAATCTAATACGAGTCGTTATAAAAAAGTAATAGCCCATTTATCATTCTTCAATTACGTCAGCAAAAATGAAGAAAGCGTCAGCGACTATAGTCTTGATTTCGCCCTGTAGCTGCTACTCCATGAAATTATTACATCAACTTCGTAATTTAAATTTATCACGAACTTCTTCAACTTAATTTTACAGCAACAACTTTCGACTTTCATCTTTGTTTATCCTCGGCAGTTGAGAATTCCCTAAAACAACTGAAATTTTTTGAATCCCTAGGGATTCAAAATTTGCTACTATGGGTAGTGGTCGAAGTTGCAGGACCGAAGAACTGTTGAGCATAGAAATAGTTGTATAGAGGAACCGTCCTTGTTGACACTAAGACACAAAAGTCGCGACGATTTACCATTGTTCATGAGCAAAAGAAGTCGATCAGTCATTTGGAACTGTACAAGAAATACGCCAGACTGAGGCCAGAAAATGCGCCGCAAAAAGGGTTATTTATAAATTACAGAGGGAATAAGTGCATCAAACACTGTTTTTGTTGGTGCTTTGAGACATTTTTAGTGAAAGCTGGTGATAATAAACGTTTATAAAAATGTTTCGTTGTGTTTATTCCTCTTTAATAACAATTAACAAGAAGTTAATCGGTATGAGAAGAATCATATGTGAATAAAATAGGTGCGGAATAATACAACCATTGTGACTATTGACGGCTGGAGCTTTTTCCAGCCGTTTTTGTTTTTCTTTCTAATCAGCACAAAATTGACAATTAGCAGAACACAATTGACGGAAGACGAAAATCAAAAGAAAAAAACTATTTTATGATTGACATCTTTGTATACATACCTACATCCTTCCTCTGTCTTCAGATATTGTGAAGATTTGTCTTGTGTTTATTAATTTATTTATTTACTTATCTATATAGCGAAAACAATATTATATATATTATATCATGTAATGTTTCTGTTTAACTTCGGTTTCTCTCTCAACCGTCAAAAGCACTAATAAATTTTCCACAAAATTGTGGCAAATTTTACTTTTTTTTTATAATTAAAAAATTTGAGAAGATATACAAAAAGTTTTAGGATGTAAATTATTTGCTATTTGACTGTCAATTTTATTTTGTCTTTCTGTACTGTATTGAATATAATTGAATTGCGAAACCAATTCTTGGCAAATAAATAATATCTTATCTGCTACGACGCAAATGGAAACAACTAGATAAATATGAATTATACTACTTAAATAAGAAAAAATGTTGTGATTTGATTGGAAAATTTTCACGCAAGACGTCAATAAACACTTCATATTTATCGATATCTTAAATCTAGCTTTTAAAATGTTTACTTGTAGTAACTAACCAAAAAGCAATGAATTTAAAATGTTAATTATGTACAAACTTTTTGCACTTTTTGCAAAAAGCATGTGGGTGACGTGTTTATTGATTTATTACGAAGCTTAAACAAAAAACTAAAAGAGACTAACTCTCATTTTAAGCATGCAAGTACATTAAGCTATGCTTCATAATCATCCGATGGTGTTTCGTCCACAAACATCTGAAGTTGGTACAGCATAGTTTCAGTAACATCAAAAATTAATTGTTTTTTGTTTTAAATTAACCTTATAGCTATTCGCCCCGCCGTAAACTACGTGTACATATTATTACTTGATCTCTTGTTTGCTTTATTTTATTTTAATTTATTGCTAGTTGCTTTAATACTCGTAAATCTAAATCTACGTACGAAACATATTTATACATTATAAGCTATGAACCGTGGAGAAAACATTAAATTAGCCATTTATCAGATTTTGTTTTTTTCATAACTTGGAAAGTCTTGCTCTTGATAACACCAACTTATCAGATATGCTAACCCCACTTTTGGAACATAGTATATAAGGAACAACATTAAAAAGTTGGTGATTATTGTAATACGGATGATTTAAAAGTTTACCGTAATAAAGTAATACTTTAATTGTAAACATATTTTATAAAAGTTTTTTGTGATCATAAATTTCAAAAATAAGTGAATTTCCTGACGGGTAAGTTGAAAATTGCAGTTAGAAATTACCATGTACGCGTATTTTTACTTCCCGAGCGTAAGCAAAGGAAGTATTGTAATCGAGTCCGTCGGCCGACTCTCTACTTTTACGTTTTCTCGATCTTTCATGACCCCTAGAAGACGAAGAAATAGGTCTCCCATTTCCGTCTGTCTGTCCGTCTGTCCGTCTGTCCGTCTGTCCGTCCGTCTATCCGTCTGTCCGTCTGTCCGTCTGTCCGTCTGTTGTCCCGGATTTTTATTAGACAGATAATCTCCGAAAGTACTCGACCGATTGTTGTGAAATTTTGTACTTATATTAAGAATATCATGTAGATGGTAAAACGCTAACCAAAATTTGTCTAATCATCCCCACCACTAAAGCGATGACGTCACTTCAAAATTGTACATAGTAAATGGGTTTTCAATTGTATAAAATAACATAGTCCTACACATGTAGTTTACAACTCTGAATCGACTTTTCACCCGAAACGTCCAGATTTTTGGAAAAAAAATCAAAATTATAAAACAACATTTTGAAATTTAATTTTTAATCTGCTAACCAGAATGCTTTGAAATGTTACAGATATTTTAAGGCTATAAAGAGCATCATAAATCTTTAGTCAAAAAATATTTGCTTATCCCCTCCAAAAACTTGATGACGTCAGCTCAAAAGTTTGTGGAATAAATCATATCTAAAATGTACAAAATATGATGAGTCTGTACTTCTGATCTATCACTCCATTCATATTTTTTGGATTTGCATATACAGGGTGACTCAAAAAAATTAATGAATGCGTAAATATATTTTATTGATTTAATCAGGAACTACAAAACCGAATGCTCTGAAATCTTGCAGATGTTTTAAGGTCATAAAGAGCATAATAAATGTTTAGTCAAAATATATTTGCTTATCCCCTCCAAAAACTTGATGACGTCAGCTCGAAAGTTTGCCGAATAAATCATATCTAAAATGTACAAAATATGATGAGCCTGTACTTATCATTTATCACTCCATTCATATTTTTTGGATTTGCATATATAGAGTGACTCAAAAAAATTAATGAATGCGCAAATATATTTTATTGATTTAATCAGGAACTACAAAACGGAATGCTCTGACATCTTGCAGATGTTTTAAGGTTATAAAGAGCATAATAAATGTTTAGTCAAAATATATTTGCTTATCCCCTCCAAAAACTTGATGACGTCAGCTCGAAAGTTTGCCGAATAAATCATATCTAAAATGTACAAAATATGATGAGCCTGTACTTGTCATTTATCACTCCATTCATATTTTTTGGATTTGCATATACAGAGTTACTCAAAAAAATTAATGAATGCGTAAATATATTTTATTGATTTAATCAGGAACTACAAAACGCAATGCTCTGACATCTTGCAGATGTTTTAAGGTTATAAAGAGCATAATAAATGTTTAGTCAAAATATATTTGCTTATCCCCTCCAAAAACTTGATGACGTCAGCTCGAAAGTTTGCCGAATAAATCATATCTAAAATGTACAAAATATGATGAGCCTGTACTTATCATTTATCACTCCATTCATATTTTTTGGATTTGCATATACAGAGTGACTCAAAAAAATTAATGAATGCGCAAATATATTTTATTGATTTAATCAGGAACTACAAAACGGAATGCTCTGACATCTTGCAGATGTTTTAAGGTTATAAAGAGCATAATAAATGTTTAGTCAAAATATATTTGCTTATCCCCTCCAAAAACTTGATGACGTCAGCTCGAAAGTTTGCCGAATAAATCATATCTAAAATGCACAAAATATGATCAGTCTGTACTTGTGATCTATCATTCCATTCATATTTTTTGGATTTGCATATACAGGGTGATTCAAGAAAATAAATGAAAGCGTAAATTTATTTTACTGATTTACTCAGGAACTACAAAACCGAATGCTTCGAAATCTTGAAGATATTTTAAAATTATCATAAGCATGGTAAATTTTTGATCAAAATGTATTTGGTCGTCCCCCCTAAAAAATTTATGACGTCACCCCAAAATTTTGCTGAAAAAATGCTATCTTAAATGTGCATTTTGCAAAGTATGATGAGTCCATACTTGTGATTTATCACTGCATTAAAATTTTTAATATTTGCTTATACAGGGTGTCTGAAAAAAATTAATGACGGAGTGAATTGATTTTGCAAAACTGAATACTTAGAAATCTTGACGTTTTGAAGTTATTGTAAGCGTGGTAACTGTTTAATCAAAATGTATCTCTTTATCAACCCCAAAAAAAATTCATTACGTCTTCTCACAATTTTGCTGAATAAAGTATATGATCTGACTACACTTTTAAAATTTTTAATATTTGCTTATACAGGGTGTCTGGAAAAAAATTAATGACGGAGTGAATTGATTTTGCAAAACTGAATACTTAGAAATCTTGACGTTCTGAAGTTATTGTAAGCATGGTAACTGTTTAATCAAAATGTATCTCTTCATCAACCCCAAAAAAAATTCATTACGTCTTCTCAGAATTTTGCTGAATAAAGTATATGATCTGACTATACTTGTAAAATTTTTGATATTTGCTTATACAGGGTGTCTGAAAAAAATTAATGACGGAGTTAATTGATTTTGCAAAACTGAATACTTAGAAATCTTGACGTTTTGAAGTTATTGTAAGCATGGTAACTGTTTAATCAAAATGTATCTCTTTATCAACCCCAAAAAAAATTCATTACGTCTTCTCACAATTTTACTGAATAAAGTATATGATCTGACTACACTTGTAACTAATCATTGCATTCAAATTTTTTAACTTGCTTATACAGGGTGACTCAAAAAAAGAAATGAATCAGTCACTTTATTTTAGTGAATAAATCAAGAATTGCTAAACTGAATATTTTGAAATCTTGCAGATGGTTAAAATTGATTGTGAGCATGGTAAATTGTTAATGAAAATATATCTGTTTATTACCCCGAAAAAATTCATGACGTCATCTACAATTTTTGCCAAAAAAGTTTAACTCAAAATGTGCAAAAATATGATGAGTTTTAACATAAGCAACTGTGGCCTGTGGTTTAGTGGAGGTGGAGTGTGCAGTGCAATTAGAAGTTCCGGTAACAGATCCCGGCACTTCCAACTTTTTTCGCCCATCAAATCAAGAACAGCACTTCCGATTTTCGCAACAATAATGTTATAATATTTATTTATTTGTTATTGTGTGTTCGTGAATAAGCACCATAAATAGCAAATGTTGAAATTTTTTTTTGTGATCGGAAGAATATCTCTTAATCATTTTATATATTGTCAATACATGATTAACTTCGACTGTTAATGTTTATACATCGAGAGAAGCAGAGAAAAAGTACATATGCATTTGCTTCAGTTATGCCACTGACCGTGTCATTTCTTTATCGCACGTTGAGACATAGTTTATATAAACAAACTCCCAGCCATAGCAAAAAGCGGAAGTTGGAAACGACGAGCGGCGCGGGGGGAATCACTTGTTTGGGTGGCGAGACGAAACAGTTGCGATTGCGAAATGCGAAGCCAATTCGAAAAAAACTGTTGAAGAGTGAGTGTCATTGAGGATATATATCTCCAAATTTTAAAAATTGGACCAAGTTACAATAATTGTTGCCAGGTAAGTGCAGATATTTTGGATTTGCATATACGGGGTGATTCAAGAAAATAAATGAAAGCGTAAATTTATTTTACTGATTTACTCAGGAACTACAAAACCGAATGCTTCGAAATCTTGAAGATATTTTAAAATTATCATAAGCATGGTAAATTTTTGATCAAAACGTATTTGGTCGTCCATAACTTTAGAATATTCCCAAGATTTCAAAGCATTCGGTTTTGTAATTCCTGATTAAATCGATAAAATAAATTCACGCCTTCATTAATTTTTTTGAGTCACCCTGCATATGCAAATCCAAAAATATGAATGGACGTCTTGTGATTTATCATTCCATTCATATTTTTTAGATTTTCTTAAGAGGTGGTTCAAAAAAATTAATGAAGTCAATTTATTTTATTGATTAAATTAAAGGCAACACTTATTATTAGTATTACACCCCAACCAACCCAATTTGGTAGACACAAAATTTGTTAAAGGAAAAACTCGGTTGAAACATAAGGGTAGCACGCTTATTTACATCGACTTTAACATTACAGACCTGCATTTGTTTTATGCGGTCACTTGGTTCCGCGAATGCGGAATAGACATGTTTATAATCAACCAATTGTGAATTTCACCGTCAAGAATTAAAATAAAACGCAATGTTTTATATAATAAGCGGAAGTCGAAGCAATAAAACCGATGGTCGTTTTGTTTACAGTTTCTTTGTTTGACTCTCACGTATGCTGTTACGCTTGTCATCTTAAATTAAGAATGTTTATACATAAACGATTTTCAGTTGCCCCTCATATTACTAGACAGCGGATTTCTGTCGGGCTACGTCACGATTATAGGGGGGGACGTGCTGGATTCCATAATTATAATTAACGATTTATTAATCAAACGGCTAAGTAAATGAGAACGGGAATTAACAGCAGAGTGCAACGAAACAACGTTATTCTAATCTCAAATAAACGAAGAGCAGTCCGCAACGGCAATGAATTCGCATCCCGTGCGAGCCGTACCGAGTTTGGCCTTGCCTAGCCCGACAGAAACCCGCTCTCTAGATATTACACACCGGCGCCGTATACGTAAGTAAATTGTTACGTTATTTTATTGATTATAAGAAATCAATATTCAAAACGACCCAATTCATTTTCCCGAAAATTTGGGAACACAATAATTTTATTCTTAGTATTACACTCCTTGCAAAAATGTTGATGACGTCATCACATTTTTTTTTAAATTCCCACTAGAAAAATGTAATGAGAAAAAAAAAACATAATAGACATGCAGTCGTCAAGTTTCCGACAGCGAGGGAAGTACTGTCTAAACTCTTTAGACCAATTTTTATTGTTTTAATGGAACACCCTGAT